CTTATTTGTTTCCTTACCTTTAGAGCAGTCTATGTACATGGAGACTGAAATTCATACTTTGGGACTAACCACTGCCAGTTGCCAATGTAGCCCCAACATTAGAAGAAGAGGAGGTTGGCCCTGGAGCAGTTTAAAGGGAAGTGCCTTGTTCAAGGGCACAATGGCAGGGGACAGCTCACATGCACATTCTGCCAGAATTCCCCGCCAGACTCATCTTGAGCTTGAGCGTTACGTGAAACAGATAACTTTTATTTTGAAGATCCCAGCACATTCTCAATGCCGTGTTGTGGCTATACTGTCGCCATAGAGATAGATAGAGGACTCGAGTGCCCAAAAGGCCATTTAGCATGGGCAGCGCCAATGAGGACTTTCACACTTTTTAAGTAGTCAACTGGACGGGACTTCCTGTGGCTCGAGGAAGGATCACATAATTCCATCCAGGTCATTAGGAGGGATCAGCCAATTAATTATTCTCGTGAGCTGCAGGTGGCAGTAAATCCCCAACCTTTGGTTTTATACCTGTTCAAACAACACACTCCAGGTGGCAGTGTGCACCCTTTCAGTTTGTTTGCAAACTCATAGAAGTAGTAGAAGAAGAAGAAAATGGACTACTTCAAAATGAAGATGGCCTCAATGGGACAGATACAATGTTGGGAGAGGTGCATTACATTGCTTCTGGGGAACTGAGCGTAATTTTTTTTCTGGCAAATGTCTGTTTGCAAATGTGCACCAGTGCCACTCAGTGGTGGAAACTGTGCAGTGCGTGCAAGATTATCCCTCTCAGACCATGCGGTTATGGTATTCTTTGAGAGGGAGGGCCCCTCTATCCATGGCCAGTTCGTAGGGACAGGGGGTCCAAGGCCATCCCCCCTCGTTAGGACAGGGGTGGCAGTCCCCCCCTCGTTAGGGACGGGGTCAATGGCAGTCCCCCCATTAGGGACAGGGGGTCCAATGGGCCAGTCCCCCCCTCGTTAGGGACAGGGGTCAATGGGCCAGTCCCCCCCTCGTTAGGGACAGGGGGTTCAATGGGCCAGTCCCCCCCTCGTTAGGGACAGGGGGTCCAATGGGCCAGTCCCCCCTTCGTTAGGGACGGGGGTCCAATGGGCTCTATCCTCTAGCATTGACCCCTAAAATTCTCACACATCCCGCCTAATCTCACATAGGCCAACAGTGAGTGGTCCCAGTGGGAATCAAACCCACAATCCTGCCGTTGCAAGCACCATGCTCTACCAACTAAGCTACAGAGAACCACAACATTATTACATAACCTTCTTAAAAGGTTATTTTTATGCAATATTTTAAATCAGTGCTCAATGTTTTCATACATTTCCAAAGCATGCAAGTCCCCAAACTCATACTAGAAGCTATGTGTCACGAATGTTTGTGGAATGCGGTAGGCCAGAGTCAAGCGCAGGACACAGAATGAAATGAAGATCCACTTTACTGAACAGTAAAGAAAATACAAACAAAACCTCCACACAAGGGAGGAGCAAAACCCGCTCACAAATGACACTCGTACAAGCAACAAACACGCACACCACGCAGTGGACGTGAACAGGTTAAAAAGGGAAGACCAATTGACATTATAGGGAACAGGTGCGCAACAACAGACAACAATCAGATGAACATAGAAACATGAAACATAGAGCGGCAGTAGCTAGTACTCCGGTGACGACGAACGCCGAAGCCTGCCCCGAGCCAGGAGGAAGGGCAGCCTCGGCAGAATCCGTGACACTATGGATGCATACATAGACTGCTCCTTTCATGTTTTCTTAAACAGTCATCTATATTTTGCTGCTTTTTCGCTACATATCTCATAGTAAATGATAGTTTTCCCAACCAATATAACGCTTAGCATATTTAGTTCTGTAAAATATGTTAAGAGAGAAATAGGAAACATAAGCAGAGGTCAGGAGCAGCAGAAACGCGACATTCTGATTAGTCCGAAACGCGACATTCTGATTAGTCCGAAACGCGACATTCTGATTAGTCCGAAACGCGACATTCTGATTAGTCCGAAACGCGGCATTCTGATTAGTCCGAAACGCGACATTCTGATTAGTCCAAAACGCGACATTCTGATTAGTCCGAAACGCGACGTTCTGATTAGTCCGAAACGCGACATTCTGATTAGTCAGAAACGCGACATTCTGATTAGTCCGAAACGCGACATTCTGATTAGTCGGAAACGCGACATTCTGATTAGTCCGAAACGCGTCATTCTGATTAGTCCGAAACGCGACATTCTGATTAGTCCGAAACTCGACATTCTGATTAGTCCGAAACACGACATTCTGATTAGTCCGAAACGCGACATTCTGATTAATCAGAAACGCAACATTCTGATTAGTCCGAAACGCGACATTCTGATTAGTCCGAAACGCGACATTCTGATTAGTCAGAAACGCAACATTCTGATTAGTCAGAAACGCAACATTCTGATTAGTCCGAAACGCGGCATTCTGATTAGTCCGAAACGCAACATTCTGATTAGTCAGAAACGCGACATTCTGATTAGTCCGAAACGCGACATTCTAATTAGTCCGAAACGCGACATTCTGATTAGTCCGAAACGCGACATTCTGATTAATCAGAAACACAACATTCTGATTAGTCCGAAACGCGACATTCTGATTAGTCAGAAACGCAACATTCTGATTAGTCAGAAACGCAACATTCTGATTAGTCAGAAACGCGGCATTCTGATTAGTCCGAAACGCGACATTCTGATTAGTCCGAAACACGACATTCTGATTAGTCCGAAACGCAACATTCTGATTAGTCCGAAACGCGGCATTCTGATTAGTCCGAAACGCAACATTCTGATTAGTCCGAAACGCGACATTCTTATTAGTCCGAAACGCGACATTCTGATTAGTCCGAAACGCGACATTCTAATTAATCAGAAACTCAACATTCTGATTAGTCCGAAACGCGACATTCTGATTAGTCCGAAACGCGTCATTCTGATTAGTCCGAAACGCAACATTCTGATTAGTCAGAAACGCGACATTCTGATTAGTCCGAAACTCGACATTCTAATTAGTCCGAAACGCGACATTCTGATTAGTCCGAAACGCGACATTCTGATTAATCAGAAACACAACATTCTGATTAGTCCGAAACGCGACATTCTGATTAGTCCGAAACGCGACATTCTGATTAGTCAGAAACGCAACATTCTGATTAGTCAGAAACGCAACATTCTGATTAGTCAGAAACGCGGCATTCTGATTAGTCCGAAACGCAACATTCTGATTAGTCAGAAACGCGACATTCTGATTAGTCCGAAACGCAACATTCTGATTAGTCCGAAACGCGACATTCTGATTAGTCCGAAACGCGACATTCTGATTGGTCCGAAACGCGACATTCTGATTAGTCCGAAACACGTCATTCCGATTAGTCCGAAACGCGACATTCTGATTAGTCCGAAACGCGACATTCTGATTAGTCCGAAACGCGACATTCTGATTAGTCCGAAACGCGACATTCTGATTAGTCCGAAACGCGACATTCTGATTAGTCCGAAACGCGCCATTCTGATTAGTCCGAAACGCGACATTCTGATTAGTCAGAAACGCGACATTCTGATTAGTCCGAAACGCGACATTCTGATTAGTCCGAAACGCGACATTCTGATTAATCAGAAACGCGACATTCTGATTAGTCCGAAACGCGACATTCTGATTAGTCCGAAACGCGTCATTCTGATTAGTCCGAAACGCGTCATTCTGATTAGTCCGAAACGCGACATTCCGATTAGTCCGAAACGCGACATTCTGATTAGTCCGAAACGCGACATTCTGATTCGTCCGAAACGCGACATTCTGATTAGTCAGAAACGCGACATTCTGATTAGTCCGAAACGCGACATTCTGATTAGTCAGAAACGCGACATTCTGATTAGTCCGAAACGCGTCATTCTGATTAGTCCGAAACGCGTCATTCTGATTAGTCCGAAACGCGACATTCTTATTAGTCCGAAACGCGACATTCTGATTAGTCCGAAACGCGACATTCTAATTAATCAGAAACGCAACATTCTGATTAGTCCGAAACGCGACATTCTGATTAGTCCGAAACGCGACATTCTGATTAGTCCGAAACACGACATTCTGATTAGTCAAAATCAGCACAATTATAAAATAAGAAAAATTCATGGATTAGTCAAAATATTTAGTAAAATCTTCTAACTGTAAACATACACTTCTACAGTATCTCCTATACTGCTTGTACTTTTCCACATAGGAAAACGAGACATGGGACAACATTTTAACTGAACAAAAAAGCATTGAAAAAAAGACAAACAAAAATCACTGAATGCTCATTACAATACTATAACAGACACACACAACCTCTCCACATACAGAGTACATATTAACATACCGCCTTCATAGATATGCATAGATACTACACACACACACACACACACACACACACACACACACACACACACCACACACACACCACACACACACACACACACCACACACACACCACACACACACACACACACACACCACACACACACACACCACACACACACACCACACACACCACACACACACACACACACACACACCACACACACACACACACACACACACACCACACACACACACCACACACCTAACATAAATCTGCATAGCTATAAACACACACCAACATACAGCAAATTATACATCTTTAGTTATTTAACAACAGCATTGTTACGCTATGAGGGGTTCCATGCTGGCTGGATCTGGTACACATCGTCTATCACTATCCGGAAGCTGAACGTCATCTCTCATGTTCATCTGGGTCGTGTTCATTAGGGCACACCGTGGGAAAACATTTTGCCAACGGAAATAAAATAAAAAACAGGCATTTCTGTTGGCTAATTTCAGGTTAGCACCTCCCAGTTTCACTGTTTTCTTCTGTTTGGTGTCTAATGAACACAACCCTGATGCTGCCTGTGTTGGTTGGTCGGTCCGTCAGACAAACAGCTCCTTGTTGACCCACATCAGGCTGCGCGTATCGTTGGGCTTGCACTCGTACTCGATGCTGTTGAAACTGTTTCCCCCCTGGCAGTGATCCCTCTTGTTATAGTTGTAGTACTTCACCTGCCACACCACCTCAAAAGAGCCCACCTCTGGGAACTGGGAGGGGGGGAAAAATAATAGAGCTTTCAGAGTTAAAATCGGTTAACGCAAGTTAATTTGTTGTAATTTTAGTGCGACATTTTTTTACATTTGCGATTAATCACATTGTCTGAAAGCGTTCAAAATACACTGAAAACATTGAAAATACGTCGTCTATACAGCTAAAACACAGGACGGCTCATATTAATGGCTGGAACGGAGCTAATGGAATGGCATTGGAAACCATGTGTTTGATGTATTTGATACCGTTCCACTGATTCCACTCCAGCCATTACCACGACCAACCTCCTGTGAGCTAAAAAACAACAAACAAGTTGATGTTGTGGTTGTTAAAAAGGCCCTGACAGAACACGATTGACCTGCCAACGAACCAATCACTGCTCCCGTGTGTCCTCTAATTACCTCGCTGGTGCCTGCCTACTGGGCGTGGCTAATCTGATAAAAGACAGGGAACTGGACACAAGGGAGCAGAGCTAACAAAGAAGTTGTTGCTGTGTGCGTAGAATAATCGAAGTGGCCCTATTTGAGTGTTGACAGTAAAATCAGTTTACAGGGATTGGTGTTTGTACCTCATGCATGTGCCTTTGCTAGGCTAATTGTTTGTTAGCATGACCTGCTAAATGTTTGTAGCCCACCGCTAATGATAATGCTAAGGCTACATGAGGGGCTGTTGAGGCTCATGCCATTATCTCACATTTCAGTCCTTATTGTGCAGATAGTGCATCCGTTGTGGTGTGATTGTACGCTACTGGTGTGATCGTACGCTACTGGTGTGATTGTACGCTACAGTGGCAGTCTCTTTCCCTAGCCTTATACCATACTCTGACATGGCTAATGCTAGCTTCAGGCTCTACCTGAGCCTGCTTACTGTTTAGCCATCAATGTTCATTGATATGTGATTCAGGCACTGCAATATTATGCATCTTTAGCTTTATAGTGTTCAATTAAGAACATGATTGATTGTATTTAACTTGTGTGATGCAGTAGTGTGCATATATGTATAGGTCCAACTCCTTGTATAGCCTTTTTTGACTATATCTTTGCATGGTTACTTCTATTTCCATGTATCTCTTTCCTCCTAGAAACAGAAACACCCTGTTGAATAAGTACCGAAAGTGAACTGCAGTGAGTTGTGTGGTGACCGTAAAACCCCATTGCCCTGATATCCTTTGGCTCTGTTCTCGTCGGGTATCCCTGTGGTCCTTCACACATCCCTGTGGTCCTTCACACATCCCTGTGGTCCTTCACACATCCCTGTGGTACTTCACACATCCCTGTGGTACTTCACACATCCCTGTGGTACTTCACACATCTCTGTGGTCCTTCACACATCCCTGTAGTCCTTCACACATCCCTGAATCAGTACATTGTGTTTAGTAGAGGTCATCCAGACTCTGGCAGTTTTTTGGGGGGGTTAAATAAATTTGTTTTATGAATTTACCTGACTTTGCTTACCGTTACTTTGGACAAAATCAAGACGTCAATATTATTGTAATGCTTTTTGTATTTAAAAAAATCGTAAATTACAGCTCAATTTGAGCAAATTCTGAATTTGCGCTTAAATCACAGCAAATCCTGCGATTAACTCTTAAATTGTTTTATTTACATTTTAGTCATTTAGCAGAAGCTCTTATCTAGATCGACTTAGTTGGTGCATTCATCTTAAGTTAACTAGGTGAGACAACCACTTACCACAGTCATAGTAAGTACATTTATTCCTCAAAGTAGCTATAAGCAAAGTCAGAGCTCGTAAGAAAAGACTAGTACAAATAAACACTGGATGATTTGCATCATGAACAGTTGACTCCTGAAACAGTATAGCCTACATGTGTAATGGCCTCATATGGATCATGCATAGCCTGGTTCCCAGATATGTTTGTGCTGTTTTGCCCCAACACCTATGGTCATGGCATGACAACGACCATAGGAGTTGGCCTTACCACACAAACAGATCTGGGACCAGGCTAGATGATGCAGATATCAAACAGATCTGGGGCCAGGCTAGATGATGCCGATATCAAACAGATCTGGGGCCAGGCTAGATGATGCTGATATCAAACTGATCTGGGACCAGGCTAGATGATGCCGATATCAAACAGATCTGGGGCCAGGCTAGATGATGCTGATATCAAACAGATCTGGGACCAGGCTAGATGATATAGATATCAAACAGATCTGGGGCCAGGCTAGATGATATAGATATCAAACAGATCTGGGGCCAGGCTAGATGATGCAGATATCAAACAGATCTGGGGCCAGGCTAGATGATATAGATATCAAACAGATCTGGGGCCAGGCTAGATGATATAGATATCAAACAGATCTGGGACAGCTAGATGATATAGATATCAAACAGATCTGGGACCAGGCTAGATGATGCTGATATCAAACTGATCTGGGACCAGGCTAGATGATGCAGATATCAAACTGATCTGGGACCAGGCTAGATGATATAGATATCAAACAGATCTGGGACCAGGCTAGATGATATAGATATCAAACAGATCTGGGGCCAGGCTAGATGATATAGATATCAAACAGATCTGGGACCAGGCTAGATGATATAGATATCAAACAGATCTGGGACCAGGCTAGATGATGCTGATATCAAACTGATCTGGGACCAGGCTAGATGATGCAGATATCAAACTGATCTGGGACCAGGCTAGATGATTAGATATCAAACAGATCTGGGACCAGGCTAGATGATATAGATATCAACAGATCTGGGACCAGGCTAGATGATGCTGATATCAAACTGATCTGGACCAGGCTAGATGATGCAGATATCAAACTGATCTGGGACCAGGCTAGATGATATAGATATCAAACAGATCTGGGACCAGGCTAGATGATATAGATATCAAACAGATCTGGGACCAGGCTAGATGATATAGATATCAAACAGATCTGGGACCAGGCTAGATGATGCCGATATCAAACAGATCTGGGACCAGGCTAGATGATGCCGATATCAAACTGATCTGGGGCCAGGCTAGATGATATAGATATCAAACAGATCTGGGGCCAGGCTAGATGATATAGATATCAAACAGATCTGGGACCAGGCTAGATGATATAGATATCAAACAGATCTGGGACCAGGCTAGATGATGCCGATATCAAACTGATCTGGGGCCAGGCTAGATGATGCTGATATCAAACTGATCTGGGACCAGGCTAGATGATGCTGATATCAAACTGATCTGGGACCAGGCTAGATGATATTTGTAATGTGACTGGTAAACTGCTCTGAATTAACTTGTCTACTTCATTGCTTTGTGTACATGTAAAGTGTTCTGTCTGTAATGTATTTTTCATTATGTATTGGACCCCAGTAAGACTAGCTGTTGTCATGGCGTCAGCTAATAAGGGATCCGAAATGAAATCCGAATCAAATCGCAGTCAAACTGAGTTTGCCCTTTATTACCTGCATGCTGATCTGTACAGCTTGTCTGTCTCCGCTCTTGGTGTGCGTCACTCCCTCTGTGTCGTAGATGCCAGTGTAGACTACAGCCTGGGGGTCTCTAGACTGCTGCTCCAAGGGGAAGGTGACTCCACCTACACTCATAGTGCTGAGGACAGGATCGCAACAGTTAGGGAGAGATCATCAATCAATGACATGTATTTTATAAAGCCCGTGTGCATCAGCGGTTTACAGAAACCCAGCCTAAAACCCCATAGAGCAAGCGATGCCGATGTAGAAACACAGAAAAAACACTTGGTGACACTGGGCCTGTGGTTGTTTGACATCGCAGCTGACAGTGCAGACAACTGCCGAATGACTGATCTACAAATCACCTTGCATTATTATTTATAGACGAATCAGTCAAAGGAATGGATGGGGGAAGGGGTGTGGATGGAGAGAGGTGAAATATAGATCATCCAGTGTCATTTGTTATAGTTCTATCCGTCATTTTTTAATAACAAAAGACTGAAACACAAACTCAACTCGCCATATTTGCGTGCATGTTTAGCCTACTGTAGGAAATGCTTAAAAGGGCCTAATCGGTGCTGGATTTCACACATTCTGGTTGCGCCTATTGTCTCCCTGCACCCGCCGGACTCTAATCAAACGTCACTGTCGCCACTATCTCGCCAAATTGCAAAGTTGGAAGCCCTGCCTATTTCTACAATTTATATTCTTAAAATCAGATTTGAAACCCACCTAAACTTAACCAAACTGCTAACCTTAAACTAAGACCAAAAAGGCAATTTTGACTTTGCAGTTTGGCCATCTAGTGGGATCTCGAGTGAACCGCGCACGCTCTGACGTAACGCCTTCAACCTCTTACGGCTTGTGTTTTTTTTATCAATGTTCTCAATGAATTACCAATTTAATAAATGTGTAAATTAGATTAAAGCAAGGGCCATAATATCCAGGGGTTGTGATATTTTCCAAGAGAATGCACCGATGCTATTCCTCACATTATGGACACTGATATAATATAGATTTAGGATAATAACATGTAGTCAAAACATCAACAGGGGGTGATGGACAGAGACAGCCTGTCACTGACAGAACATTGTTTTCCTCAACAGAGAAATTGTCAAAATGTATCCTATTGAAGTGTATAGACACTATATAGGCTATCGGAAGAATATTGCCTGATGCGGGAAGGCCTGTAATACATTTCCCCCCACCATACTTACGTTGCCTCCACAGCCCCAGGTTTGACAACCACTTCAATCTTGTACTTTGACCCCGTTAGCAATTTAATCGTCCTGGTTTGGCCAAATCTCGCTCCGTCCGATTTGAAGTACACGGCACTGTTATTTGGTAGCATTTTCAATGAAATGCCGATTTTGACGAGTTCGACAGCCATTCTTCTTGAAATTGAGGGTTGTGCTCAAATCCAATTCTACCTGTGTGGACAAGAGAAGGGCGCAGTTGTGAAACCGTGACCGCTCTGGATTCCAACAGAACTATCGATGTAGAATATTGTTGTGAGGTGAAAGCACAGGTTTAAAATGTAAAAACGTATCGATGGAGGCAGAGCCTGAAGTCATTTCCACTGTCCTCGTCAATAATCCCATGCACACACACATAATCCTCCTATACACGTAATCTAAGGAGATCAAGAGGAAACTATTTGGCACGGTAAACAACTTGGCCCGGTAGAGAAATAATAAACCTGCATTTTGTTATTTGATTAATAAATGGTTCAAATAGGCCTACTGATTTTAAAAGACAGTTCACATTTAAACGCGCACACAGAGAGAGGGAGATTTAACAGGGAATCAAACCGGTCTCAAATGGTCAAATCATAGCAGGGTTAAAGGACAACATCACGAAAACAATGCGCACCCTTCAATGGGGCAGAAATCCGTGAGTTTTTGTGATTCTGGATGGCCAGATAGCTAGCAACAATGACAATATACTGTCATGTGGGAAATCATGAGTGACTCCTTTCAGCTAGTTTCATCTTGTTTTTGATACCATGTCTTGTTTTGAGGTGTTTTGACTGATTTCATATCAATGCTAATATGGCAAAAAAAATTCGCTAACTAGCTACCCAACAACTGTAATGATGTATTAGAGACAACAGGTGCTAATTGTGCAAATGTTTTTATGTTTTCAATAAACATTGGAGATGAAATGTAGTTTACTTGTTGTCAACAATCTAAGCCAGCCCCATCTGTTTTGCCCCATAGTTGTGCACATGTCAGTTTTGTTGCTAAACAACCAACTGTAGTCCCAGTCAATATTCACTTATTATACAACAGGTGGTTCTAATCCTGAATGCTGATTGGTTAAAAGCGCATTCCAACCGGTGTCTGTTCCACAAGATACCACCCGCTAAATCTACGACATTAAAATGCCTATTTACTCTGTTCCATCTGACTGATCAATCCACTGTCTCATCAGCCCAGCCAGGCAATTTACAAACATGATCTCCACTGTAAAAAGCATCTAGGCATTATCTCCCATTTCTTTTAGACTAAGATTTAGTTTTCAACAGCAGAGATTTGTATAAACCTTGCTGTCTGTCTCTCCGACATTTGCAACATTGTTTCAATATACAAATTCGATCTCCAGCTGTCCCATAGTAATGAACGTTTCGGGAGTCGGGACGAGACAGACAGGCTGGCAGCGTTTCTCAGCCAGTCTAAATCATGAATCAGCTGGCATCGTTTTTATAGATATACACAAAGAAATGTCAATTGAGAAAAGGTCCAACGAAACGAAGTGCAGCTAGTTTGCGGTATTTCCAGTTTCAGTTTGAAGTGATTGTGTTAGCTGTGTTGTTGGCTAGCTCCTCTGAACAACAGTGTCCTGACGAGAGACAGAACATTTTCTATGTCAGGCGAAATCGCATTTGACCCAGGTCGGCATCACTAGGCCTACACATCAGCCAGAGATGTAGTTCTGAATGAGCACACCTTCTGGGGAGAGGAATATGCTTCATAGCCAAACTTCATATTCATTCCCTTCAGTCCCTTTTGATTGGTTTAATTGTTCATTATAAATCAATCTAATAAATTATTTTGGTGTGAACTGGCACTAGAGGGTGCTATATGACATCTACTTGTCAAACTGGATTAGAAAAGACTTGGTTCCCACAAACATGTATTATTTAATTGGCAGAATGCATGAAAATATAAGAAAAAATTACATTGATATTGTTTTTATTGATGATTAAGTGATGGATTCGAATGAAGTCACATCTTGTGGAAATCAGAGGTCACACAAACCATAGACACTAACATTCTTCTCACACTAGTATCAGCGTTTCCCAAACTCTATCCTGGGGAGCCGAAGGGGTGCACATTTAGGTTTTTACCCCAGCACTACACAGCTGATTCAAATAGCCAAAGCTTGATGATAAGTTGATTCAGCTGTGTAGTGCTAGGGGCAAAAACCAAAACGTGCGCCCCTTGGGGTCCCCAGGACCGAGTTTGGGAAACGCTGCACTACATAGAACTGTGAATTATTAAGCTAATTACCAGAAGTGCTGCATGACAAGTTCAGATTCAGCCATTAAACGTTCAGTAGGTTACAGGTCCCGTGGTCAGGAAAAACTCCTGAGTATCAACCATAGAGAATGATAGAGGACTCTTGTACCTAAAAGTCTGTTTTAGCATGGCCAGCGCCATTGCGGACTTTCACCATTTTGAAGTAGTCAACTGGACGGGACTTCCTATGGGTTAAGGAAGTCTCACACAATTCCATCCAGGTCATCAGGAGGGATCAGCCAATTAATTATTCTCATGAGCAAACATTCCATAACTGCAGGTGGCAGTAAATCCCCAACCTTGGAATTATACCTGTTCAAACAACACACTCCAGGTGGCAGTGTGCACCCTTTCAGTTCGTTTACCAACTCATAGAAGTAGTAGAAGAAGAAGAAAATGGACTACTTCAAAATGGAGATGGCCTCAATGGCTCTGCCCGTGCGCTCACAGACGCCATAATGGGACAGATACGATCTCTACGGTATCAAAAAGAATGAGAAGGTAGACATTGATCAAACAAGCAAGTCTTCACATTCTGAAAATAACAGTGCACAGATACCACAGCTCAATTAAATATATACAACCAGCATGGCACTTTGCTTTACATTACTTCCCACAGCCCTGTTTCCTTGGTAATCCCAGCGAAATATCTACCATCATTCTAGGTATGATTACAAAGTCATTTCCGCAAAAATGGATAACTGCTTGGGTCCTGTGATAAAGGGTGGCTTCAATCAATCAATATATAAATATAGACAAAAAGTGATTTGGTTTATAACAGAGTAATGTAAGGACCGTCACCGTATTTCAGAGTAACTAACAAGTGTACTGTCAACCTCTGCCCTCCTTTCTGTAGCGAAGAGCAGTAGTGTGCGTCAGTATGATAGAAGCGGCAGTCATGGAATCACATGGATGATTGATTTGATTGTTTCAGGCCTCCTTTCTCTTCATGATGAGGGGACCGACATTATCCCCCGTCTCCTGGTTATGTTTAGCATGAGCGCCATCACAGTAGGGAAACTAGGCAACAACAACAACAACAAAAGTAGTTAGAATACACGAAACACATTTTTAAAATTCCTTGCCTTGTTCTGCTCAAATGCAAGTAATAACATAACCTTACTAGCCTACTGTTTGTTTAAGGCTGATGCTAAAAAAGCTCTCCTCACAACCACAACCTCTTTCCGTGCCGTGCGTCTATGAATTTCTAGTGGTTAATCCACGGCTCCACTTTATAGTGAGAAGTTGTAAAACCAAACAAAGAGTATAAAATTGACAGCAAGCCAACCTTCTTGGATCTCCAACACCTGCAGTACACCGCCTTATCCCCGAGGTCCTCGATGTCGAACGCGTGCACTACTTTGGGGTTGTCTTTCTGCAGGTCAAAGTTGACCTTGGGCTTGACCCCTGACCCCTTGGAGAAGTGCTGGAGGAGGAGGATGCCCACAGCTGTAGCTCCTGCAGTCACGCCGATGGCTGCCACCAACTCCGCTGTAAAACAAAAAAAACAGACTGATCCAGTATCTAGTTCAGGTAGGCCTCCAACTGCAATACAAACAAACGAAATATCACCAACACTACTAATATAGCTTACCATTCAGTATGTTAAAACTCTGCAAAACTTTAAAAAGGTGAGGCGGTTTACTTAAACTACAGTTCAGGCAGAAATGTATTTGACTGTTCCAACACACACTAGCACAGTATTTAGAATGCATAAAACATGTGTTTCTTTATGGTAGGAAGCGCAGTACATCTAAGTTATGGTTTAGTTTACAGGTGCTATAGCCTAGTGATGGACTAAAGGAGCCTAACATTATCTAGGCTATGGGGTTAAGGTTAGGAATTAGGTTAAAGGGTTAGCTAAAAGGGTTATGTTTAGGGGAAGGGTTAGCTAAAAGGGTTATGTTTAGGGGAAGGGTTTGCTAAAAGGGTTAGGGGAAAGGTTAGCTAACACGCTAAGTAGCTGCAAAGTAGCAAGTAGTTGAAAAGTTGCTAATTAGCTCAAATGTTAAAGTTGTCCATGATGAGATTCGAACTCGCAACCTTTGGGTTGCTAGACATTCACGTTATACACCCACCCATCCACCCTATTTTCGTTTTTGCCTTAAATAACCATCTGTCTTATGTAACCATACCAAACATAACATATCACATACTAAATTTGATGTCCCGGATTTACCTTTTAATATGTTACGTTTAGTCTATGAGACCAGGCTGAGTGTCGGGGCTCTTAACGAAACTCCCCCATACAGAAGACGCCTTCATCCAATGACTCATGATCAAGGGCTAGTCATGACTGTAAGTCGCTTTGGATAAAAGCGTCTGCTAAATGGCATATTATATTATATTATAGTAGCACTGCTGGGTTATAAAGTGGGAGTGGAAGGACAGAATATTTAGCCGAAAAGGTAGTCCATTGCCTATGTAAAGAATCCATCTCTTGCAGTTGTCACATTTTGTTGCTTTAAAATGTTGACATGAATGGAAATGCACGGAATGGGGCCTGTAAGGCACGATGTAAAACATGCCAGTGCTATATGGTATAACCTTATACAAAAATACTATTCTCGGCCTAACAAACTCTTATAGCCAGCTGCCTCGCTAGTCAATAGGAGGCAACAAGCCAAGGTCGCAGTCTTACGAAATGACAGGTATGCTAACGTTATGGCATCGCCAAAATCTTTACAGATTACATTAGCCAAATGTCATAAAATAGTTGACATTATTTGGAAATATCGCTAAATAACAACAGTGTTCGTAGCAAAGTAAGTACGTAGCTACTGTAGCTAGTAAATATAAGTTAGCTTTTTGGATAGTTAGCATGGCATATTTACCTTTCGACAAGGAAACGTTAGAACTCATGGCTTGCAACTATACGATTGATCCAATGCAGTCTTGTGGAGCAAGCGTCGCTAACTATCTGTATGTCTTAAAGAAAGCGTAGTAAACGGCATATACTTCAAGATGTTTGAAAATGTGAACACACTTCTTCTTCTTCTTCTTGTGTGTTCCGGCAGACTAGACGCTGTATTGCTGCGTTTCTCAGGTCGGAGTGCGAATTACACATATCTAAAAGCCTAAAAGGCATTACATGGTCAACCCGTTGTCTGCATTGGCCTTGCAGCATTTACGGTGATACACCTCTGCGGAAGTCAGGGCATTCATACTTATTGCACTTCGCGGTGCAGCGCAGAGCTGTTGTGAAGGAAGTTGAGTTTGTGTTTATACTGGACCTCCCGCCCTCCACCTACCGTCAAGCAATCATGTCAATGCGGAGGGCTCCGTATAGCTCTGGATTGACCATGTGGCGCCTTTTACACTAACCCACTTCCCAATCCACAATGACCCAACCTCAGCCTTGTCAACAGAACCCCACCCCTCCTTTCACTCTCCAGATACCTACTGACCTTCCTCACAGAATTCTGGATAGAGAAAAACTGCCTTCCCTGCTCCTCTGTCTCCCCCACTCACCTGGGTCAACACCTCTGCTATGATGCTCCTACATTCCATCCCCCCCCTAACGGGACCACCACATCTACCTCCTCCCTATTCAGAGATACCATATCTGCTGCCTCATTTCCTCCTACCCCAATATGAGCTGGGACCCACAGAATGTGAACAGACAGCTAGCTTCTAACTATACTGAACAAAAATATAAATGCAACATGTAAAGTGTTGGTCCCGTGTTTCATGAGCTGAAAGAAAAGATCCCAGGAATTTTCCATACGCACAAAAAGCTTATTTCTCTCAAATGTTGTGCACACATTTGTTTACATCGCTGTTATGGAGCATTTCTCCTTTACCAAGATAATCCACCTGACAGGTGTGGCATATCAAGAAGCTGATTAAACAGCATGATCATTACACAGGTGCACCTTGTGCTGGGGACAATAAAAGGCCACTCTCTAAAATGTGCAGTTTTGTCACACAACACAATGCCACAGATGTCTCAAGTTTTGAGGGAGTGTGCAATTGGCATGCTGACTGCAGGAATGTCCACCAGAGCTGTTGCCAGAGAATGTAATGTTCATTTCTCTACCATCAGCCGCCTCCAACGTAGTTTTTGAGAATTTGGCAGTACGTCCAACCGGCCTCACAACCACGTGTAACCACGCCAGCCCAGGACCTCCACAACCGGCTTCTTCAACTGTGGGATCGTCTGAGACCAGCCACCCGGACAGCTGATGAAACTGAGGAGTATTTCTGTCTATAATAAAATCCTTTTGTGGGGAAAAACTCATTCTGATTGGCTGGGCCTGGCTCCCAAGTGGGTGGGACTATGCCCTCCCAGGCCCACCCATGGCTGCGCCCCTGCCCAGTCATGTGAAAAATATATTTTAGGGCCTAATGAATTTATTTTAATTGATTGATTTCCTTATATGACCTGTAACTCAGTAAAATCGTTTAAATTGTTGAATGTTGCATTCATATTTTTGTTGAATATACTTATGACACCACTGGGAGTCACTTCCTGGTCAAACATGTTCCTTGGTCAAATACTTCCTTCAAAATAAAAGTCCCCTAGTTTTAATATTGGCGAATACTGCAACATGTATTCAGGGGACATAGCAAAATGTCAAATGTTTTCTAAAATAACATATCATCCACATTTCTACATGCATTCTTACATCTCAGCATCTCTTTGAGTACATAATATCACATGCATACAGTTTCAATACATTGCTGATTGTAGCAGACTAAACTCCATGGTGAAGTTTCTGATCAACTCATCATATAATTTTTTTTGTACAATAAAATCTCTCTAATATAAAAAAAGAAAAAAAAAAGAAAAAAACTATTTTATACACATAGGTGCTGGTAAGAGTGATGGTGGATTCTGCCCAATCCCAAATTGACCCCTATACACTAACGCCCTATGCACTTGTGGAGATCTTAAAGAGAATGACATAGGACAATCACATCCTCTCATATCTCCACCAGGTCATAGGGTCTAAGGGTCGATTTGGGATCGGGAAAATGCAGTGCAATGGATTTGGTTCCAATAGTTACACTATATAAAGACAGTAAACTACCATAGGCATCTTCAAAACACCGGATGTAAGAAAACACATGCTTTTATTAGAAGTAAAACGGCAGTAGTCTGGAAAGATGTCTGGAGCACATTTGAGAAGACGGACCCAGCAAACACACTGTCACCAAATCACAAAACAAACACGTTCAGAAACGTGTATTTGTATCTTGCTTCAGTTCTGCTGGTTGTGACAACGACCCCATTCCCTTTATTGGAGGTCCGTGATCTGACAGCTCCCTTTGACAGGTCAACATTTTATTTTGGTGATGACCTGAAAACAGAAGAACAGTCATTATTACATCATGCTTTACATACAGTCGAGGCAATTATGCCTACTAACTGTAAACTAGGGATAGGCTACCAAAGAAATGCAACTGAACCGGTCGCCTATGCTATGGCAGACCACCAGCAGTCCTGCATTTGCTGCGGTCATTTTCCAGGGAAATAAAATAAACTGAACAAAGACACATTTGAGGAGGATTTTATAACTTATTATTGGATTATTTTGTATTTCCCTTGTGAAAATAAGAAAGGTTAAATGACTCCAAGAATCGCTCGCTGCCACCCTTTCAACAAACGTAGGTCAAATCCAGTTTGGTCCCATTTTTACACTGAATGTAGGCTAAGCCTACTAACGTTACAATGTTTCCAGTCACTAACTTGGCTGATGTTATGTAACAACATGTTTGATACAATGTAATCATATAATTTGTTGTTACAATGTAACTGCATGCAATCAACCCATAGGCCAATTACTTACACACCCCCACTCCACTTTTATGCCAAGTCCAGTTTCTTCTGTGTTTCTGAGAGTTTATCCTGCAGCCGTTTCTTTCTCCAATCCAGGAACTTCCTCCTCGCTCGGTTGGCCTGCCATCCAGAAAGGAAGCCTACTGCGAATGAAAAAGCGATTGCAACTTGTAGCGTCCTTTCAGAAACGTCCGCCATATTCACCTCTGTATGTATGGCAGTTTGTATGGCTTTTTTAGTTGTTGGGAAAAGCCACCCAACATGTGTCGTGCTGCGACGTGTCTATATATATATATATATACGAACGCACCATACGACGCTTCTACAGAGTGTCTCGAGGGCCAAACGTCGAGGTAAAATGCACGACTGTGAATTTTAATTTATCTGCGGGAAAAACGGCGCCCTCTTGTGTCTAGAATGAAATCTCCACAATGGAGTTCAGTCTTCGGGAGAGACATGTTAACTGTTGCTCTGGAGCAGGCTTCCCCAAACTCCGTCCTGGGGCTCCCCCTGGGTGCACGTTTTCACAGCTGATTCAAATAATAAAGAGTTTGATGAGGAGTTGGGTAAAAACCTAAACGTGCGGTGCGGTGCGGTGCGGGGGCCGAGTTTGGGAAACCCTGTTCTGGAGAGCCCAAGGAGGCATTCTGCCTTGTCCCTGTTCTCAGCCGTAAGTATCGGCCACAACTGGGACCATATGAACTACATTTACATTTTAGTCATTTAGCAGATGCTCTTATCCAGAGCGACTTACAGTTAGTGAATACATATTTTTTTATACCGGCCTCACAACCACTATGTAGACGATGCTGGGACAATTGTGCGCCGCCCATGAGTCTCCCGGTCGCGGCCGGCTGCGACAATCCGACGCGCTGTTTAATTAGAAACGTTAATAATCCTCGCTTGCAATACGGTTTGGGAAACAAAGCCCTCTGCTTTCACATCACATGAAAATAATTTCACAAATGCAAAACGAACACTTACTGTATGCATTTTAAACAGTTACAACCAACAATATTCAAGAATGGTCGACCACCCAAAGGACATCCAGCCAACTTGACACAACTGTGGGAAGCATTGGAGTCAACATGGGCCAGCATCCATGTGGAACACTTTTCGACACCTTGTAGAGTCCATGTCCCCGACGAATTGAGGCTGCTCTGAGGGCAAAAGGAGGTACAACTCAATATTAGGAAGGTGTTCCTAATGTTTTGTACACTCAGTGTTATGGCATTGACTTACCCGGCTAACTGGCCAACTCACAGAGCAAGACCACATCAATGTGACACTAGAGTTCCCCAAATCAACTTCTCAAAGACCACAACAGAAATGTAGAAATAAAACTATTTTTGATACTCAGATGCAGATATATTCAGATGCAGATATATTCAGATTACCGTGGCTATGGCCAACACTCACCACCTATTGTCACTACAAACGTTATCAAGAATCACCAATCCCCCCCTCCCCCCCTCCCTGACAGCATCAAGAATGCTGGGGCGGCAGGTAGCTTAGTGATTACGAGCGTTGTGCCAGTAACCGAAAGGTCGCTGGTTCTAATCCCCGAGCCGACTAGGTGAAAAATCTGTCGATGTGCCCTAATTGCTCATGTAAGTCGCTCTAGATAAGAGCGTCTGCTAAATGACTAAAAAAAAAAAAATGAAAAAAATCTATAAAAAAAAAATAAAGATTCACCAATAAACACATTTTAATAGCTTCACAATTTTATTCCTTTTAGAAAATAACATTTCTTAAATTCCAGTACATATTGAGCACAGCATATTTCCAGTGTTCCTTTTCTTGTAATTTTTCTTAAGCAAGAGAGTTAAAACACTTAGGCTGCGTTTACACAGGCAGCCCAATTCTGATCTTTTGACTGATCTTTTGCCCAAATATTGGCAAAAGATCTGATCTGATTGGTCAAAAGATCAATTAGTTTGCAAAGGATCAGAATTGGGCAGCCTGTTTAAACGTACCCTTACACACAGTAAGGAGGTTAGACATTTCATTAGCAGGTGGATTTCTGGTGGATATATTTACAGGTACAGTGTATTCAGATCAACATGATAAAAGGTCCATCCTATTAAGCTTCCAGACTACAGATTGTGTTGTTTAAACTTCAGCAGGACTCTGAGCAGAAGAACTCACTCAAGAAAAAAAAAACAGATTCTCAGATCAAAAGACAAAACCAGTTCGCATAATTCTTAAGATTATAAAACAACAGGTTTGAACAACCAAATCACTTGCTTGTTTTGGGGTTATTGGCAGAATTTGCAGCATTGCTAGAACATAAAAAAAAAAAAAGAGATCAATACAGAAACTACTGCATAGCATGTTCTCTGATTGATTATCAGGGATCAAACTCCTGTTCATTAACACTGTAACGATGGTCAGGGGATACCGCTAGGCTTCTGCTTTACATTTTAGTCATTTAGCAGACGCTCTTATCCTCGGCGACTTACAGTAACTTCTGCTTTAACTCCAATCACTCAACAGAGCTTTAGACTGGGCGAGGAGCGGGTGCGTGCAAATGTCCTTGTGCTGTGACGAGTATTATTCCTGTCCAGACAGAGCTCTTCCATAATACAGATCTGATGGCTCAATTCGTGAGATGCAAACACTATGTAAATCCTGAGGAGGAGGAGCTTCACATTGAGCCGGGGCTAACACACTAAAACGGACTTGAAGGGCAGTCATGTATTCCCAATGCTTCAATACTAGCCTTGTAGGTGGTCTTCAGGAGTGTCTAATACATGGATGTAAAAAGGAAAAATACTTGACTCAACAATTTAACTTGCCAGGAAATTTGAGGCTCTGTCGTAGCCGGCCGTGACCGAGAGACCCAAGGGGGAGGCGCACAATTGGCCCAGCGTCGTCCAGGGTAGGGGAGGGAATGGCCGGCAGGGATGTAGCTCAGTTGGTAGAGCATGGCGTTTGCAACGCCAGGGTTGTGGGTTCGATTCCCACGGGGGGCCAGTATGAAAAAATAATAAATAAATAATGTATGCACTCACTAACTGTAAGTCGCTCTGGATAAGAGTGTCTGCTAAATGACGTAAATGTAAATGTTTGGAAGTACAGAGAAACGTCATTACATAATACTACATTCTCACAGCACAGGGAGGACAGTTATAATAAATAATAATAATAATAATAATAATATGCCATTTAGCAGTTACTGATGCATCTTTACAGGACATTGTTTCGGAGGCTTGAGGTGTTTCAACACTTCATTTCATCGTATCAGTAGATATGATACCTCAATAAATATAATATAAATTGGAAGCTGCTATTGGGGGTTAAATATAATATAAAAATATTGGGGGTCATAAATATTGAAATGGTAATCCCAAATGTAGCCATTGATCCAGACCAGTACCAAGGCCTAATGTCAACTTCATAAGAGCATACATGCAAATGTGAACAGGGGATACTTGCAATAACTGAGCCAAAAACAACAAACAATACAGAAAACCACAAAATGAACATTTGAAAAATCACCCAAAAGGAATAAGAAGAAAATAGAAAGATCTTTATGAAATAAAGTCAGAATCCCAGATGAATGATACCATCTACTAACCTCACTAAACTCCATGTGGCAGCTGGTTACAGTGGGACTCTCATTTCACATAGGTCTAACTGGAGCCTTCACAAAACAACCACGCTGAACTGTAAACACTTTACATGAAGAGCAGAAGAAGAGAGGGGTGGCACAGAAACTTAGTTCTAGTAAAAACAAAGGCAACAAACAGGTTTGAGTTGAGAAGAGGGTGGCACAGAGTAGCCAGTAAGTAAACTGCTAACAAGTTTGACAACAGTGCCACCTGACAGGCTGAGGCCATTAACCAACAGGGAGAGGAGGAAGGCAAAAGACAAACACAACAGAACATTCTGTGATGTCATAATAGCAAAAGACAAACACAACAGAACATTCTGTGATGTCATAATAGCAAAAGACAAACAGAACAGAACATTCTGTGATGTCATAATAGCAAAAGACAAACAGAACAGAACATTCTGTGATGTCATAATAGCAAATGACAAACAGAACAGAACATTCTGTGATGTCATAATAGCAAAAGACAAACACAACAGAACATTCTGTGATGTCATAATAGCAAAAGACAAACAGAACAGAACATTCTGTGATGTCATTATAGCAAAAGACAAACAGAACATAACATTCTGTGATGTCATAATAGCAAAAGACAAACAGAACAGAACATTCTGTGATGTCATAATAGCAAAAGACAAACACAACAGAACATTCTGTGATGTCATAATAGCAAAGGTTGAGACATTGAATGCAACAGTTTTATTCTAACACAGGAGGTGCCAAGGCAATTTTTTATGTAATGTTTTATGAGGTCATTATGATAGAAGTTCTTTGACTACTTGCTGCCATTTGAAATACCTAGGCCAACAGGTAATACATGTCTAGTGTGGTGGTCCTTCAATTGACTATCTTTAACTGATGACTAAAACAAGAAAACTGATAGCAGCTACGGGAATTGCTTTGGGGGCCAAAAGAGAGATTTCTTGTCCAAACTGCAGGTAATGGACCCTTTGCACTGGGAGAGGAACTCCCACACTGACATAAGATAAAATACTTAAAATCACTATATAGACTAACTGCTGCCAGTAGTTATGTACCTTTCTTACAACTATGTTAGATAAAACACCACAAAAAAAAACAGTCCTTACTAGGCAATTCAAACACTAGGCGATTCTACAACATCACCGGCTGTAGAGTGGGTGTCGTCATGGTCCAGGGTTTGGGGAGGATCGGGTGTGAAACAAACAGAAGGTGGACACTTGTACCGGACTCATAGTTCAGCTTTTGTAGTGCAGCGTCTCAAAACAACCAAAGTATCAAGATCATAACACATATCTTGAAACGTGACAGACATACCAACAACATCACAGAACTTCATCACTAAAAGAGACTAGAGTTTGAAGAGGCTGGTGAACCAATGGTTTTTAAAACACCCCATTACTGTTAACCATGCTGTGATAATAAAGCTATGATGATGAATGTGCCGCAGGCGACAGAGGAGAGTGGGACCCTTGTTGTGACACGCTGAATTAAAGAACCGGTCAATGATGATGAATCAGCCTCTTGGTCCCTTCATTTGATACCAATGTATCTAAACCCTTTCCCCCTGTCTGCCTTTTTCACATAGATGGACAGAACACAACATCGGCAGACAAGGCAATATTTATATGTTGAGAGAAACTCCCTTTCCTAAGACGTAACTGGACTGACTGCAGACTCCTGTCACACAGGTAACATCTCAGCAGGTTTTGGCTTTAGTGCACTCTAGAATTACGAAAAAAAGAGGTATTTACACACAGTACCAAGAACTAACACCGTCCCTGTGACCCTTAGCACTTACCTGCCTCCCAGGGTTCATGACATGAGACATTACATTAGTTATTTAAAAACCTCTATTTGAGAGGATTTTAGGGGAGGGAGTTAAAATATATTTAGGAGTTGTTAAATTAGTAAATAGCTTTTCCCTGTTTTTTTTTTTTTCCCGGTTTCCTGTGGCGGCTTCTTGAGGGACGACGTGGTCATATCGTCACGGCTCCTCAGACGACTTCAGCAGCTCCAGTAACGCCCCAACCGCTCCAAAATATCCCTACAGAAAAACATACAAATATAGGATTATTGCTAATACTCAAATTATGATTATGAAATCCGGGAGCGATGGGGTAGGAGTTGACAACTTTGTTTACATTCAGTCTGACAGAATCTAAAATCCAAAATCAAGTGTTGTACCTCGTGTTCTAAGAACAGGGCCTTCAGTTGCCCCTTTGACCAGAAGTCCATGGCGTAGGCCAGCAGCTTAGTAGACACAGTGTTGATCCGTAAGAAATTCCCAACAAACACAACTCTCTCGATTTTCTGAAAGTGAAAACGTCATTGTAGTGACGTTATTTTAATGCAAAATATGTAATGTATCCAAAACACACAGAGACAGTCAATATACAGGTCATAACAGAACTCCAGAAACATTGTTTTTTTTTATGTATGTAGTTCTGTCCCTGAGCTGTTCTTGTCTATTTAAGGTTCTGTATTATGTCATGTTTCATGTTGGTGGACCCCAGGAGAGTAGCTGCTGCTTTTGCAACCGCTAATGAGATCTAATAAATACCCAATACCAACAGTAAGGAGATTCCTAATAAAATACCCAATACCAAACAGCTAATGGAGATCCTCATAAAAGTATCCAAAATACCAACAGCTAATGGAGATCCTAATCAAGCTATGGAGATCCTAATAAATACCCAAATACCAACAGCTATGTGAGATCCTATAAATACCCAAATACCAACAGCTAATGGAGATCCTAATAAAATACCCAAATACCAACAGCTAATGGAGATCCTAATAAAATACCCAAATACCAACAGCTAATGGAGATCCTAATAAAATACCCAAATACCAACAGCTAATGGAGATCCTAATAAAATACCAAATACCAACAGCTAATGGGGATCCTAATAAAACACCAAATACCAACAGCCAATAGGGATGAATAAATAAATACTCATGATTACCACAAAGTGGTGCTAAAAGACAGGAGTCTGCTGTACCTCGGCCCTGTTACCAATGTTTAATGTACAAGGCCGGAGCTGAGAAGGAAGCCAGTTGGACCTCGAAATGCTAGATACAGCATCTGTATCTGTGCTGTTGTGTTGGTGTTGAACTGAACTGCCTTGCACTTATTGTCCTGTCTATACTATCACTGACACCAGATGTAAAAAAGCACCCCCACATCGGAGTGATCCTGTAGCGGGTGTGTGGGAACAACGTGAGAACTTCAAAAGAAAAGAGAAACACGCACACTGCTCTTGCTAGTGTCACTTATTTTATTAAAGCTTTTATGTGTCAGCCTCTCTGCCTTTGTCTGTGCGCTTTGACAGCCCTGTACAACGCTGCTTGATCACCATGCCATCAAGGCCAACTGCTAAGGCAACACTGTAAAGGACGCTGCTTGATCACCATGCCACAAGGCAACACTGTAAAGAACGCTGCTTGATCACCATGCCACAAGGCAACACTGTAAAGGATGCTGCTTGATCACCATGCCACAAGGCAACACTGTAAAGGACGCTGCTTGATCACCATGCCACAAGGCAACACTGTAAAGGACGCTGCTTGATCACCATGCCACAAGGCAACACTGTAAAGGACGCTGCTTGATCACCATGCCACAAGGCAACACTGTAAAGGACGCTGCTTGATCACCATGCCACAAGGCAACACTGTAAAGAACGCTGCTTGATCACCACGCCACAAGGCAACACTGTAAAGAACGCTGCTTGATCACCATGCCACAAGGCAACACTGTAAAGGACGCTGCTTGATCACCATGCCACAAGGCAACACTGTAAAGAAGCTGAACGCATACAGAAAACCACCCAAAAGACTGAAATGTGGTTGTCTCACCTAGCTACTGTAACAGTAATACTTCCTTCCCTCTCCTTGCCCCAACCTGGGCTCGAACCAGGGACCCCCTGAACACATCATCAACTGCCTCCCACGAAGCATCGTTACCCGTCGCTCCACAAAACCCGCGGCTCTTGCAGAACAAGGGAAACAACTACTTCAAGGTCTCAGAGCGAGTGACGTCACCGACTGAAACGCCACCATCGCGCACCGCTAACTAGCTAGCCATTTGACACCGGTTACACTACCTTAAGATGAATGCACTGACTAAGTCGCTCTGGATAACTGACTAAAATGTAAAAATGTAAATGCAAATAAGCCCTTTAGACAACTACTTCTCCTGAAAACATAACTGAGTGAATGTTAATATATCGCAAACTGCAGGGAGAATGTGTGTGTGTGGTTACCTCGTTGACGGCACACATGCGTGCAATGGAACCTATGTTATTGGTGATGGTGACTAGCATAGCCCGGGCCAGGTCCTCTTTGCTGATGGAGTCTCGTTTCTCCTTGCTCATCATGTGGCCAAAGCTGTGGGTTAAAAGAACAAAAACAACATATGAAATCACAAGAATCACAAATCCTTCTTTAATTTAAACAATACAAATGAGAGTTTGTTTTGTTAAGAATTAAAAGAGAATTGAACATCATAACACAAGGCCAAGGCCGGAGATCACTTCTGGGACAAGGACACCGTTACTTAACCTACATTGCGTTTTTGCAGTGCTTTTACGGTTAATTAACTACCATAACAATTACGTTTATGGTTAAATACACACACATAAATACAGTGGGGAAAAAAAGTATTTAGTCAGCCACCAATTGTGCAAGTTCTCCCACTTAAAAAGATGAGGCCTGTAATTTTCATCATAGGTACACGTCAACTATGACAGACAAAATGAGAAAAAGAAATCCAGAAAATCACATTGTAGGATCTTTAATGAATTTATTAGCAAATTATGGTGGAAAATAAGTATTTGGTCAATAACAAAAGTTTCTCAATACTTTGTTATATACCCTTTGTTGGCAAAGGTCAAACGTTTTCTGTAAGTCTTCACAAGGTTTTCACACACTGTTGCTGGTATTTTGGTCCATTCCTCCATGCAGATCTCCTCTAGAGCAGTGATGTTTTGGGGCTGTCGCTGGGCAACACGGACTTTCAACTCCCTCCAAAGATTTTCTATGGGGTTGAGATCTGGAGACTGGCTAGGCCACTCCAAGACCTTGAAATGCTTCTTACGAAGCCACTCCTTCGTTGCCTGGGCGGTGTGTTTGGGATCATTGTCATGCTGAAAGACCCAGCCACGTTTCATCTTCAATGCCCTTGCTGATGGAAGGAGGTTTTCACTCAAAATCTCACGATACATGGCCCCATTCATTCTTTCCTTTACATGGATCAGTCGTCCTGGTCCCTTTGCAGAAAAACAGCCCCAAAGCATGATGTTTCCACCCCCATGCTTCACAGTAGGTATGGTGTTCTTTGGATGCAACTCAGCATTCTTTGTCCTCCAAACACGACGAGTTGAGTTTTTACCAAAAAGTTCTATTTTGGTTTCATCTGACCATATGACATTCTCCCAATCCTCTTCTGGATCATCCAAATGCACTCTAGCAAACTTCAGACGGGCCTGGACATGTACTGGCTTAAGCAGGGGGACACGTCTGGCACTGCAGGATTTGAGTCCCTGGCGGCGTAGTGTGTTACTGATGGTAGGCTTTGTTACTTTGGTCCCAGCTCTCTGCAGGTCATTCACTAGGTCCCCCCGTGTGGTTCTGGGATTTTTGCTCACCGTTCTTGTGATCATTTTGACCCCACGGGGTGAGATCTTGCGTGGAGCCCCAGATCAAGGGAGATTATCAGTGGTCTTGTATGTCTTCCATTTCCTAATAATTGCTCCCACAGTTGATTTCTTCAAACCAAGCTGCTTACCTATTGCAGATTCAGTCTTCCCAGCCTGGTGCAGGTCTACAATTTTGTTTCTGGTGTCCTTTGACAGCTCTTTGGTCTTGGCCATAGTGGAGTTTGGAGTGTGACTGTTTGAGGTTGTGGACAGGTGTCTTTTATACTGATAACAAGTTCAAACAGGTGCCATTAATACAGGTAACGAGTGGAGGACAGAGGAGCCTCTTAAAGAAGAAGTTACAGGTCTGTGAGAGCCAGAAATCTTGCTTGTTTGTAGGTGACCAAATACTTATTTTCCACCATAATTTGCAAATAAATTCATAAAAAATCCTACAATGTGATTTTCTGGATTTTTTTTTTCTCAATTTGTCTGTCATAGTTGACGTGTACCTATGATGAAAATTACAGGCCTCTCTCATCTTTTTAAGTGGGAGAACTTGCACAATTGGTGGCTGACTAAATACTTTTTTCCCCCACTGTATACACACACACACACACACACACACACATATACACGTACATTTGAAGTCGGAAGTTTACATACACTAAGTTGACTGTGCCTTTAAACAGCATGGAAAATTCCAGAAAATGATGTCATGGGTTTAGAAGCTTCTGATAGGCTAATTGACATCATTTGAGTCAATTGGAGGTGTACCTGTGGATGTATTTCAAGGCCTACCTTCAAACCCAGTGCCTCTTTGCTTGACATCATGGGAAAATCAAAATAAATCAACCTCGGAAAAAAAATTGTAGACCTCCACAAGTCTGGTCCATCCTTGGGAGCAATTTCCAAACGCCTGAAGGTACCACGTTCAGCTGTACCAACAATAGTATGCAAGTATAAACATAATGGGACCACGCAGCCGTCATACCGCTCAGGAAGGAGACACGTTCTGTCTCCTAGAGATGAACGTACTTTGGTGTGAAATGTGCAAATCAATCCCAGAACAGCAGCAAAGGACCTTGTGAAGATGCTGGAGGAAACAGGTACAAAAGTATCTATATCCACAGTAAAACAAGTCCTATATCGACATAACCTGAAAGGCCACTCAGCAAGGAAGAAGCCACTGCTCCAAAACCGCCATAAAAAAGTCAGACTACGGTTTGCAACTGCACATGGGGACAAAGATCGTACTTTTTGGAGAAATGTCCTCTGGTCTGATTAAACAAAAATAGAACAGTTTGGCCATAATGACCATCGTTATGTTTGGAGGAAAAAGTGGGACGCTTGCAAGCCGAAGAACACCATCCCAACCGTGAAGCACGGGGGTGGCAGCATCATGCTGTGGGGGTGCTTTGCTGCAGGAGGGACTGGTGCACTTCACAAAATAGATGGCATCATGAGGAAGGAAAATTATGTGGATATATTGAAGCAACATCTCAAGACATCAGTCAGGAAGTTAAAGCTTGGTCGCAAATGGGTCTTCCAAATGGACAATGACCCCAAGCATACTTCCAAAGTTGTGCCAAAATGCCTTAAGGACAACAAAGTCAAGGTATTGGAGTGGCCATCACAAAGCCCTGACCTCAATCCTATAGAAAATGTGTAGGCAGAACTGTAAAAGCGTGTGCGAGCAAGGAGGCCTACAAACCTGACTCAGTTACACCAGCTCTGTCAGGAGGAATGGGCCAAAATTCACCCAACTTATTGTGGGAAGCTTCCGGAAGGCTACCCGAAACATTTGACCCAAGTTAAACAATTTAAAGGCAATGCTACCAAATACTAATTGAGTGTATGTAAACTTCTGACCCACTGGGAATGTGATGAAATAAATAAAAGCTGAAATAAATCACTCTCTCTACTATTATTCTGACATTTCACATTCTTAAAATAAAGTGGTGATCCTAACTGACCTACGACAGGGACTTTTTACTAGGATTAAATGTCAGGAATTGTGAAAGACTGAGTTTAAATGTATTTGGCTAAGGTGTATGTAAACTTCCGACTTCAACTATATATATATATATATATATAGCTCTGGAAAAAATTAAGAGACCACTGCAAAATTATCAGTTTCTCTGGTTTTACTATTTATAGGTATGTGTTTGGGTAAAATTAACAAGTTTTCTTCCAGTACAACCTTGTACGTGGCTTGATTCATGCATCCTTCACAAAGACATATCTGCCCGATTCCAGCCTTGCTGAAGCACCCACAGATCATCACCGATCCTCCACCAAATATCACAGTAGGTGCGAGACACAGTGGTTTGGCGGATGACCGCTAACTCATTTGAATGTCACTCCACAACCGTAGGATGACATCAAGTGACCTACAAAAAGAATGGCAAACGGCAGCTGGGGTGAAGTGCACGGCGAGGACGGTTCGAAACAGGCTCCTAGGGGCAGGGCTGAAGTTGTGCAAAGCTAGAAAAAAGCCCTTCATCAATGAGAAGCAAAGAAGAGCCAGGCTGAGGTTTGCAAAAGACCATAAGGATTGGACCGTAGAGGACTGGAGTAAGGTCATTTTCTCTGATGAGTCCAATTTTCAGCTTTGCCCAACACCTGGTCATCTAATGGTTAGACGGAGACCTGGAGAGGCCTACAAGCCACAGTGTCTCGCACCCACTGTGAAATTTCGTGGAGGATCGGTGATGATCTGGGGGTTCTTCAGCAAGGCTGGAATCGGGCAGATTTGTCTTTGTGAAGGACGCATGTGTCAAGCCATGTACAAGGTTGTCCTGGAAGAAAACTTGCTTCCTTTTGCTTTGACATTGTTCCCCAACTCTGAGGATTGGTTTTTCCAGCAGGACAATGCGCCATGCCACACAGCCAGGTCAATCAAGGTGTGGATGGAGGACCACCAGATCAAGACCCTGTCATGGCCAGCCCAATCTCCAGACTTGAACCCCATTGAAAACTTCTGGAATGTGATCAAGAGGAAGATGGATGGTCACAAGCCATCAAACAAAGCCGAGCTGCTTGCATTTTTGCGCCAGGAGTGGCATAAAGTCACCCAACACCAATGTGAAAGACTGGTGGAGAGCATGCCAAGACGCATGAAAGCTGTGATTGAAAATCAGGGTTATTCCACCAAATATTGATTTCTGAACTCTTCCTAAGTTAAAACATTACTATTGTGTTGTTTAAAAATGAACATGAACTTATTTTCTTTGCATTATTCGAGGTCTGACAACACTGCATCTTTTTTGTTATTTTGACCAGTTGTCATTTTCTGCAAATAAATGCTCTAAATGACAATATTTTTATTTTGAATTTGGGAGAAATGTTGTCAGTAGTTTATAGAATAAAAGAAATATGTTATTTTTACCCAAACACATACCTATAAATAGTAAAGCCAGAGAAACTGATCATTTTGCAGTGGTCTCTTAATTTTTTCCAGAGCTGTATACACATATATATATACACACACACAAAAAAGGATGTGGACACCCCTTCAAATTAGTGGATTCGGCTATTTCAGCCACACCCATTGTTGACAGGTGTATAAAATCGAGCACACAGCCATACAATCTCCATAGACAAACATTGGCAGTAGAATGGCGTTACTGAAGACCTCAGTGACTTTCAACGTGGCACAGTCATAGGATGCCACCTTTCCAACAAGTCAGTTCGTCAAATTTCTGCCCCCGTCTGTCCTCTGTTGCAACACTCACTACCGAGTTCCAAACTGCCTCTGGAAGCAACGTCAAAACACAAGAACTGTTCGTCGGGAGCTTCATGAAATGGGTTTCCATGGCCAAGCAGCCGCACACAAGCCTAAGATCACCATACGCAATGCCAAGCGTCGGCTGGAGTGGTGTAAAGCTTACCGCCATTGGACTCCGGAGCAGTGGAAACGCGTTCTCTGTAGTGATGATTCACGCTTCACCATCTGGCTGTCCGACGGACAAATCTGGGTTTGGCGGATGCCAGGAGAACGCTACCTGCCCGAATGCATAGTGCCAACTGTAAAGTTTGGTGGAGGAGGAATAATGGTCTGGGGCTGTTTTTCATGGTTCGGGCTAGGCCCCTTAGTTCCAGTGAAAGGAAATCTTAACGCTACAGAATACAATGACATTCTAGACGATTCTGTGCTTCCAACTTTGTGGCAACAGTTTGGGGAAGGCCCGTTCCTGTTTCGGCATGACAATGCCCCAGTGCACAAAGCGAGATTGGTGTGGAAGAACTTGACTGGCCTGCTGATACCATGAGCCTGTCCTCCCCAATTAAGGTGCCACCAACCTCCTGTTTTCTGAAGCCATTCCAGCGTCGCTTTCGCTGTATACTTGGGGTCATTGTCCTGTTGGAACGTAAATCTTCGCCCCAGTCTAAGGTCGTTTGCACTCTGAAGCAGGTTTTCATCAAGAATTTGCCTGTATTTGGCTCCATTAATTGTTCCCTCTGACCTTACCAGTCTCCCAGTCCCTGCCGCTGAAAAGCATCCCCATAGCATGATGCTGCCACCACCATGCTTCACGGTAGGGATGGTGTTATACTGGTGATGAGCTATACCTGGTGTTCTCCAGACATAGCCCTTTGCATTCAGGCAAAATAGTTTAATTTTTGTCTCATCAGACCACAGAATATTTTCGCCTTATGATCCGAGTCTTTCTTTCTGAGCCTTTTTGCAAACTCCAGGCGTGCTGTCATTTGTATTTTTCTCAGAAGTGGCTTCCGTCTGACCATAAAGTCCAGATTGGTGAAATGCTGTAGAGACTTGTCCTTCTGGCATGTTCTCCCATCTCAGCCGTAGGAACTCTAGTTCTATCGGAGTGATCACCTCCCTGACCAAGGTCCCTTCTTGCCCGGTTGCTCAGCTTGGTCGGACGGCCAGCTCTAGGCAGAGTCTGGGTAGATCTACATTTTTTTCCTTTTCCCAACGATGGAGACCACTGTGCTCTTGGAAACCTTCACTCTAGAAATGGTTTTATGCCCTTCCACAGATATCTGCCTCATCACAATTCTATCTCGGAGCTCTATGGACCGTTCCTTGGACAACATTCCACAGGCCACAATCAACAGTCTGATCAACTCTATGTGAAGGAGATGTGTCGCGCTGCATGAGGCAAATGGTGGTCACACCAGATACTGACTGGTTTTCTGATCCACGCCCCTACCTTTAAGGTATCTGTGACCAACAGATGCATATCTGTATTCCCAGTTATGTGAAGTCCATAGATTAGGGCCTAATTTATTTATTTAAATTGACTGACTTCCTTAAATATTTGAAATTGTTTCATGTTGCGTTTATATTTTTGTTCAGTGTATATATTATCATGGTAGATATATAAATGGTACATATATTATCATGGTAGATCCAGTATAATGCCCCAGTACTGAGTGGTCCCTCGCTCACCTGGAGGCCACAGCAGATCCTTGGAGGTTGAAGCGCTCATAGTCTCCTCCGTAGATATCCTTCACCAGCTTGTCCACATTGCTGCTGTCCCCTCTGCTAGCCATATCCAGCGCCTCTTCAAACGTCTCACACCCCGTCAGCAAGCAGCACAGGCCCAGGAACGTTCCCCCACCAAGACTGAGGGGAGGACACAGAGAAGGGATCAGGCACAGGAACGTCAATGGGCTTTTTGACATCATATGGGAAACGTGTGAAATTTTGTAGTTACACACATGTACGCTTCAAGTTACGGTTTCGTCCCTTATGCTGGGGAAACTTCATGGAAAGTGGTTCTGAATGAACGTACAACAGTGCGTCCCCTCTCAGCCGGAGACAGCCTGAGACAGGGAGAGTTTATTGGGGTAGGCAGAACAGGTCACATAGGAACTGTAAGCTGAACCAAAGCACTCAGGAGCTGTCACCTAACCCTGACTTAACCACGGCCAAGTTATCCTTTTCAGTGGTGTAAATACTTAAGTAAAAATACTTTAAATACTTAAGTAAACATACTTTAAAGTACTACTTAAGTAGTTTTTCAGGGTATCTGTACTTTACTTTACTATTTATATATTTGACAACGTTTACTTCTCTACATTCCTAAAGAAAATAATGTACTTTTTACTCCATACATTTTCCCTGACACCCAAAAGTACTCATTACATTTTGAATGCTTAGCAGGACAGGAAAATGGTCCAATTCACGCACTCATCAAGAGAACATCCCTGGTCATCCCTACTGCCTCTGATCTGGCAGACTCACTAAACACACATGCTTAGTTTGTAAATGATGTCTGAGTGTTGGAGTGCGCCCCTGGCTATCTGTAAATAAAAAATACAAATACAATTGTGCCGTCTGGTTTGCCTAATAAGGAATTTGAAATGATTTATACTTTTACTTTTGATACTTAAGTATATTTAAAATCAAATACTTTCAGACTTCTACTCCAGTAGTATTTTACTGGGTGACTTTCACTTGAGTCATTTTCTATTAAGGTATCTTTACTTTTTCCACCACTGATCCTTTTACCAACCTAACCCTGACTTAACCATGGCCAAGGGATCCTTTTACCAACCTAACCCTGACTTAACCATGGCCAAGGGATCCTTTTACCAACCTAACCCTGACTTAACCATGGCCAAGTTATCCTTTTACCAACCTAACCATGACTTAACTATTTCAAAGAAGGATAACTTGGCCGTGGTTAACGGAAAGCTTCAAAATGACAAATACCAGCATGATCTCAGTTTCATCCCAGCGACGTTTTCTATTTAGAGATGTTTCAAGGTTGAACTGCCGTAAATATAGACTGTCCTCGTGCAACGAGCAGGCAGGCAGTGTCTGTCTAGGGTGCGTGGTAGAGCACGCAGCGCTCTGTCTTCTGACGTAGACGTTGTTCAACCTGGCTTGGCGCTCTGTCTTCTGACGTAGACGTTGTTCAACCTGGCTTGGCGCTCTGTCTTCTGACGTAGACGTTGTTCAACCTGGCTTGGCGCTCTGTCTTCTGACGTAGACGTTGTTCAACCTGGCTTGGCGCTCTGTCTTCTGACGTAGACGTTGTTCAACCTGGCTTGGCGCTCTGTCTTCTGACGTAGACGTTGTTCAACCTGGCTTGGCGCTCTGTCTTCTGACGTAGACGTTGTTCAACCTGGCTTGGCGCTCTGTCTTCTGACGTAGACGTTGTTCAACCTGGCTTGGCGCTCTGTCTTCTGACGTAGACGTTGTTCAACCTGGCTTGGCGCTCTGTCTTCTGACGTAGACGTTGTTCAACCTGGCTTGGCGCTCTGTCTTCTGACGTAGACGTTGTTCAACCTGGCTTGGCGCTCTGTCTTCTGACGTAGACGTTGTTCAACCTGGCTTGGCGCTCTGTCTTCTGACGTAGACGTTGTTCAACCTGGCTTGGCGCTCTGTCTTCTGACGTAGACGTTGTTCAACCTGGCTTGGCGCTCTGTCTTCTGACGTAGACGTTGTTCAACCTGGCTTGCTGGTAACAATAAAGTAGTCTAACTATTATCCATCGTGAGTCACAATTCCACTACAAAAGCTAATATGAATGACGCACAGCAGCTGTAAATTATGAATTCCTATTTCTTTTAGGGCGTAGATCAGCTTTAATATTGCAAGATTGATTGTGGCTTCCATCAATGTAATTGTCTGCATCATTTCCAATCCCCCATATATTTTTAGGGTAAATATATATTTTTATTTGATCCTTTATTATTTTCCCCCAATCCTAATTGGAGTAAACTAATGGACAACAACACTTAGGCTTCTACTTCCAGTTTATACATACTATATACATTTTACATACACAGTATATTTTACAATAGTTATCTTTTGTTTGTTTTTAGTCCCATCCTTCAGCTACCCTCAACCCCTCCCATCTATCTCTGAACAACATCCAGTTTTGATTTCTATTTGCCATATTTTTTTTTCAACTGTGCTGTTTCACAAAAGTTATGAACCTTTCTATTCTCATAGTTTCTACAGATTGTAAATTAAAGATAAAAAATGTTTGCTAAGAGTATTATTATATTATTGATTGATTGACTATGACTTTGCAAATAGCACTGCTGGGTGATTTAAAAGAGTTAGCTTCAGGTAAATGTTGCAATTCTTCAACCATTCCTGAACCTGCAACCAAAAACAAGCTACATATTGGACAGTACCAAAACAAATGATCTAATGATTCTGTCTCTTCACAGCAAAGAAGAGAGTTGTAAATTATTGCTTTTCTCTGTAATCTCTGTTGACATTACAACGTATGATGATTCTCTCTTCTTATGAAGAAAAACAAAAATCAGGGGCCTTTTGAAGATTACAATTCCTTTCTGTACAATGACTCCCCCCATGCTAGAAAACAACTCTCACTTGGGTCATTCATCTGGGAAAACCCAGTTCACTGCTGATCAGTAGAATGGCTTTGGACTGTTGTCAAAGCATGGCAGATACTGGCACTGGTGAACAGCACTGTCCTGAAACATTTCTGATTTTAAAACACTACCATAAATTATAATGCAGACCTTGCAAGGCTTTTAAAAAATAAAAATAAACGTTAATCCCTGTCCACTGTGTCCTGCGCTTTACCTGGTGCCGGTGACCCGTTTGTAGTCGTCTTTGGAGTACACGGCCAGGATGCTAACCCCAGATCCAATGTTGACCAGCAGCATAGGGAACGGGTTGGCCAGACTGCACGGGGTCTTCACACTGTTCTGGGTGTCTGACGGGTTCTCCAAGTAGTAACACTGAGGGTGACCGTTGAAGCTCACGGAGTCCACGTAGAGCAGGCCACGAATCAGACAGTCAAGCTCATCTAGCTTCAACAGCTCTAAATCAGCCATCTGGAGAGGGGGGGCGGAGAGAGAGAGAGAGGTGGTGGTGGTGTGAGGCAAATCACGCAGAGGCAAATCAGAGCATGAAGCAAACCTCAGTCAGGGTTGAGGAAGCAGGTGACTATGTAAACAAACCAGGTCTGCGGTCGGAGAACAGAGAAGCCCAGCCGGCCAGCACCACAACCCAGCGCCTGACAGCACAGGTTGTCTTCGCAACACCAGTACAGTAAAGCATAGGCCAACAAGTCCAGAGCAAATAAAAAAATCTATAATAATAATAATAATAATAATAATAATGTCTTATCTAACATAGCACACCCCTTCCTTAACTGGAATCAAGGCTGCAAGGTTGTCAGGTCACCCGTTGTCTTATTCTCTCACTCACCGTTCTGAAGTCGTTCTCGAACTTGTAGGCCCCTCCGCCAGTGGCGCAGAGCGTGGTGTGGAGGCTGGAGAAGTTCTTGTCTCGGCCCATCTGGATGAAGTGGTGCATGGCCTGCGTAGGGAAGCGGATGAAGTGCAGGTTGCCCGTCCGGCCGCACACGGTCAGGTTCTTCAGCTCCAGGTGGACGTCTCGGATGCCCGTCTTCCCGTACGCCGTGTTGGAGGTCAGGTAGCGACGGATGCTCTTCAGGCTCTCCACCTCTTCCTGCTCCTCCTCCGCCGTGATGTCCTTGGGCTCGAAGTAGACCAGCTTCACCAGAGTACCGCCGATGTCCATCCCGAACCAGGGGAAGGCTGTCAAGGCAAAGCAAGAGATGCATTACAGCGTTGTTACCCTGTCCTTACCGTGTTGTTTCCCTGTCCTTACCCTGTCGTTACCATGTCGTTACGCTTTTGTTTCCCGGTCATCAGCAAAGAACCAAATCAGCCTGCCTCACATGCATTTCATTTCATTTCATTTCAATTGTTCCATTGGAAAGCAAGGCAGTGACAGACAGTAACAGTATTCTTAATGCCCCCTAAAAAATTCCATGCCTTGCTGCCAAAGTGTCCGTTGTGCCCTAGGGCTGAATATAATCATCATAATTCCATTCTCTCGGCTGCCAATCGCCGTGCGAAGCACCTCTCACTCACATGGCTCGCTCAGATATCTAAATTCTTATTAGCCAATGCCTGTCACGTGATCAGGTCCTTCTCACAGGCACGCAGCTCGGATGTAGGCTAAAAGTCAAGACAGACATCGGGAATGCAACCGCACGCCTCCTTATCGAATTCCGAGGCACATAATATGAAGATAAATATGCCATTTAGCAGACGCTTTTATCCAAAGCGACTTACAGTCATGCGTGCATAATTTTTGTGTATGGGTGGTCCCGGGGATCGAACCCACTACCTTGGCGTTACAAGCGCCGTGCTCTACCAGCTGAGCTACAGAGGACCACACCAAGATGTTAGAAGAACTGTCCACATTTACTTTTCGTGAGCCAACAAGATGAGTAGACCTAATGAACAGCAAAAGCACTAGCCTATGTCAATCTACTATCCCCCATAGTACAAAAGTTGACCTGTTCTATTGGTCAGATTGACGACCTCCTGTGCAAGAAATGAAAATTCCAAACATACTCTGGGACAGATGTGGGAAGCGATACATCCCAAATTAATACAACCGCTGTACATTAAAAAAAAAAAAACTTTAAAAAGCAATGAGGCTGATGCAACAGAGCAGAACAATTAGCTTAAAATGTTGATAAAGTATTAGGCTATTTCTTCACATTATAAGCGCAGCAATACGCACACGGCAGTAGTCTAGACACAACAACAAGCATTGGTTGTTAATATGACTAGGATTGTCTTTGGCTGCTGGACAACGAAATAAAGTTGAGAACATGAGAGAAATACTGGTTTCAATGGCATATGAGGAAAAAGGTGTTTATAAAAGAATCCCCTTAACATTCCTATGTGGAAACCCCTTCAAATGAGTGGATTCGTCCATTTCAGCCACACCCGTTGCTGACAGGTGTATAAAATCCAGCACACAGCATTACTGAAGAGCTCAGTAACTTTCAACCACTGGTCCTCAGTTCTTCTAACATCTTGGTGTGGTCCTCTGTAGCTCAGCTGGTAGAGCACGGCGCTTGTAACGCCAGGGTAGTGGGTTCGATCCCCGGGACCACCCATACACAAAAAATAAATAATGTATGCACGCATGACTGTAAGTCGCTTTGGATAAAAGCGACTGCTAAATTGCATGTTATTATTATTATTATATTATTATATAAGTAAAAATATTTGAAAGTACTACTTAAGTAGTACTTTTGGGTATCTGTACTTTACTATTTATATTTTTGACAACTTTTACTTCACTACAATCCTAAAGAAAATTATGTACTTTTTACTCCATACATTTTCCCCGACACACAAAAGTACTCGTTAGATTTTGAATGCTTAGCAGGACAGGAAAATGGTCCAATTCACCCACTTATCAAGAGAACATCCCTGGTCATCCCTACATGCCTCTGATCTGGCAGACTCACTAAACACAAATGCTTCATTTGTAAATTATGTCTGAGTGTTGAAGTGTGCCTCTGGCTATCTGTCAATAAATAAATAAAACAAGAAAATGGTGCCGTCTGGTTTGCTTAATATAAGGAATGTTTAACTATTTATACTTTTAATACTTAAGTATATTACATAGAATTACATATCATTTTTATACTTAAGTATATTTAAAACTAAATACTTTTACTCAAGTAGTATTTTACTGGGTGACTTTCACTTTTACATGAGTCATTTTCTATTAACGTATCTTTACTTTTACTCAAGTATGACAATTGGGTACTTTTTCCAGCACTGCTTTCAACGTGGCACCGTCATAGGATGCCACCTTTCCAACAACTCAGTTGGTCAAATTTCTGCCCTGCTAGAGCTGCCCCGGTCAACTGTAAGTGTGGAAGAACTTGACTGGCTTCCTGTTTCCATTGATCATCCTTGAGATGTTTCTACAACTTGATTGGAGTCCACCTGTGGTAAATTCAATTGATTGGACATGATTTGGAAAGGCACACACCTGTCTATACAAGGTCCCACAGTTGACAGTGCATGTCAGAGCAAAAACCAAGCAATGAGGTCGAAGGAATTGTCCGTAGAGCTCCGAGACAGGATTGTGTCGAGGCACAGATCTGGGGAAGGGTACCAAAACATTTCTGCAGCATTGAAGGTCCCCAAGAACACAGTGGCCTCGATCATTCTTAAATGGAAGAAGTTTTGAACCACCAAGACTCTTCCTAGAGCTGAAGGCCGGCCAATCGGGGGAGAAGGGCCTTGGTCAGGGAGGTGACCAAGAACCCGATGGTCACTCTAACAGAGCTCTAGAGTTCCTCTGTGGAGATGGGAGAACCTTCCAGAAGGACAACTATCTCTGCAGCACTCCACCAATCAGGCCTTTATGGTAGAGTGACCAGACAGAAGCCACTCCTCAGTAAAAAGCACATGACAGCCTGCTTGAAGTTTGCCAAAAGACACCTAAAGACTCTCAGACTAGTCAGGATCGAGGCAAAGATGAACAGAGCAAAGCACAGAGAGATCCTTAATGAAAACCTGCTCCAGAGCGCTCAGGACCTCAAACTGGGGCAAAGTTTCACCTTCCAACAGGACAACGACCCTAAGCACACAGCCAAGACAACGCAGGAGTGGCTTCGGTACAAGTCTCTGAATGTCCTTGAGTGGCCCAGCCAGAGCCCGGACTTGAACCCAATCTAACATCTCTGGAGAGACCTGAAAATAGCTGTGCAGCAACGCTTCCCATTCAACCTGACAGAGCTTGAGAGGATCTGCCGAGAAGAATGGGAGAAACTCCCCAAATACAGGTGTGCCAAGCTTGTAGCGTCATACCCAAGAAGACTCGAGGCTGTAATCGCTGCCAAAGCTGCTTCAACAAAGTACTGAGTAAAGGGTCTGAATACTTATGTAAATGCAAAAATTTCCTAAAAAACCTGTTTTTGCTTTGTCATTATGGGGTAGTGTGTGTAGATTGATGAAGGAAAAAAATAATTTCATCCACTTTAGAATAAGGCTGTAACGTAACAGAATGTGGAAAAAGGAGTCTGAATACTTTCCGAATGCAATGTGCATTTGCCCACTGAAGTCAGTTACGACGCCGAACTGCGGTCACGTCAAGACCCTGGTGAGGACGACGAGCACGCAGATGAGCTTCCCTGAGACGGTTTCTGACAGTTTGTGCAGAACCTCTTTGGTTGTTGAAACCCACAGTTTCATCAGCTGTCCGGGTGGCTGGTCTCAGACGATCCCGCAGGTGAAGAAGCCGGATGTGGAGGTCCTGGGCTGGCGTGGTTACACGTGGTCTGCGGTTGTGAGGCTGGATTTATGTACTGCCGAATTCTCTAAAACGACATTATGGTAGAGAAATTAACATTACATTCTCTGGCAACAGCTCTGGTGGACATTACTGCAGTCAGCATGCCAATTGCACACTCCCTCAAAACTTGAGACATCTGTGGCATTGTATTGTGTGACAAAACTGCACATTTTAGAGTGGCCTTGTATTGTCCCCAGCACAAGGTGCACCTGTGTAATGATCATGCTGTTTAATCATCTTCTTGATATGCCACACCTGTCAGGTGGATGGATTATCTTGGCAAAGGAGAAATGCTCACTAACAGGGATGGCAGACATATCAGTGTGGATGATGGATCACCACCTCAAGCTGAACCTCGGCAAGACGGAGCTGCTCTTCCTCCCGGGGAAGGACTGCCCGTTCCATGATCTCGCCATCATGGTTGACAACTCTGTTGTGTCCTCCTCCCAGAGTGCGAAGAGCCTTGGCGTGACCCTGGACAACACCCTGTCGTTCTCCGCTAACATCAAGGCGGTGACCCGATCCTGTAGGTTCATGCTCTACAACATTCGGAGAGTACGACCCTGCCTTACACAGGAAGCGGCACAGGTCCTAATCAAGGCACTTGTCATCTCCCGTCTGGATTACTGCAACTCGCTGTTGGCTGGGCTCCCTGCCTGTGCCATTAAACCCCTAGAACTCATCCAGAATGCCGCAGCCCGTCTGGTGTTCAACCTTCCCAAGTTCTCTCACATCACCCCGCTCCTCCGCACACTCCACTGGCTTCCAGTTGAAGCTCGCATCTGCTACAAGACCATGGTGCTTGCCTACGGAGCTGTGAGGGGAACGGCACCTCCGTACCTTCAGGCCCTGATCAGTCCCTACACCCAAACGAGGGCACTGCGTTCATCCACCTCTGGCCTGCTGGCTCCCCTACCTCTGCGGAAGCATAGTTCCCGCTCAGCCCAGTCAAAACTGTTCGCTGCTCTGGCACCCCAATGGTGGAACAAGCTCCCTCACGACCCCAGGACAGCGGAGTCACTCACCACCTTCCGGAGACATTTGAAACCCCACCTCTTTAAGGAATACCTGGGATAGGATAAAGTAATCCTTCTCCCCCCCCCTTACCCCACCCCAAAGAAAGAAAGAAAAAATATATATATTGTAAAGTGGTTGTCCCACTGGCTATAAGGTGAATGCACCAATTTGTAAGTCACTCTGGATAAGAGCATCTGCTACATGACGTAAATGTAAATGTAATTTGTGCACAACATTTGAGATAAATAAGCTTTTTGTGCATATGGAACATTTGTGGGATATTTTATTTCAGCTCATGAAACCAACACTTTACATGTTGAGTTTATATTTTGGTTCAGTATATATCAAATTGGAAGCTAAGAATCTATATGTTTGGGGAATGAAGG